ATGGAAATTTTATTTAGGAAGTTCTGCAAACGTATTTTCCCAAAGAGTTATTGCCCATTGTTCTTCTCTTTTATTGAACTATGTTTCTAGGTTTAAACTAGGGGGCAACTGGAACCTAGTCCAGGCCAACTATTGAGAGTGTAAGGTTGGATGTCTTGAATGCAATGGGTTGGGTCAACTGGAACCTAGTCCAGGCCAACTTAGCCCAACCCAAGTCATAAGGCCAACAAAAGGGCTCAATCCTTGAAGATAAGCTCATCCTAAGACCCATCCTTGATTAGCATTGTCTCACCATTCCTTCATTGAAGCCAACATGGCTAGTAATCACTGATCATGAAGTCCTAGATTCTAAATCCAAAATGAAATCTCATCTCTGGGGCATTCTTGAAAATTTTATCTAATTCCTTTGTTTCCTTGCTTCCATAATATGTAGTTGTGGATTGAGGTACAAACATAAGCCCCACCTTAAGTTGGGTTGGGCTTAGGTTGAGAACTAGGGTATCCTGAGCCCAACCCTTTATATATATAAACGAGATACTTGGATTCTTTATGCATACAATAAACAATATATTTTAGCTTTCTTGTGCTATAGGATAACTTAGACATATCATTATAGTTTAGATTATATCATGTTGTAGGTATTTTGGTAGATTTTTTATCGGATGTCTATGAAGAGACAAGTTGGTAGCTCTGGTAGATAATGTTAAATGTATGAAAGTAATAAAAATAAACAATTTTATTTAGTAAACAACATTTAGGTATATCAAATAGCTTCCCTCAGAGGCACAAAACTATGAAACAAGCAAATTTTAGAGGTTTAGCATTAGAGTACCGAACAGCTTTACATCATTCAGAGTAGAAAAAAGTGCTACTGGCAATTCAAACTTCATAATTGTTTGCAAAACCTTTCTACTTTTCAAAGATCTACCAAACACCCCTTTTGTCACTTTTTCAGCCACCAACAAGTTTATCTGATTTGATGGGCCAGTAAGGTTTGCTTTTGTTTTCCATTAACTTTGTTGTAGTGCTTGAACTTTCACTGTAAAGCCTAGCAAGCTTGACGTGGGCTAAATTTTGGGATTCCCTTCATTAAAGAACCTGACCTAAAATCCCTTCATAACCCAAGTATGAAACTAGCCATGCAGGACCCTAGGCTTGATATTGATGAGTAAACACTCGTAGGACATATTACTAAGAACTAGGAAGTAGGTAGGGGTGTCAATTGGACTGAATTTGGTTTAAGCCGATCCAATCCAATGTGAATCTTATTATAAATGGACCAGGTCTAATCCAATTCAATGAATATTTTGGACCGGTCCAATTCAATGTCTGGACCATTTAATCTGTTCAAATTCGTTTTGATTTAGGTTGGTTTCAACCCAAATCCAGTCTATTGACACCCATATTCTTATCTTATATGTTATATTAATGGACCAGATATTGGGTTAATCCAGTCCAACTCCAATCTAATAAATATTTTGAACTGGACTGGTTCAATCTGATATGTCTTATTGGTCTGTTCAATCCGTCCAAATTAATTTTGGATTGGACCACCGGTCCATTGACACCTTTAGAAGTAGGGATGTCACAAGACCTGGACCCTTTATTCGTTGGCTATGGGACTTATCTTGTTTAGGCCCAAATTTGACATAAGCAGTTACAGACCTAGACCCACCAAATGACTGAAGAGAAAAGAAGCTGCCATGATCTAAGAGATATATAGTTGCTCAATCTGTTCTTTGATCTAGATAAGTTTAGTCCTGAGGATTTGTCATACAAGGAAATAGGTTATTGTACTTGCACTTTCTTAACATTCTCTTTCCATCAGTTCCATTAAATAGGTACATTACACCTTTTTTCTTCTTCCTTTTCACCACCTCATTTTTATCAAGGTGGATATTAAATCTATTTCATCCAACATTCAAAAAAATTCAAAAGATGAGGCATAACCTTGTCATCTTCCTAGAAAAATCCCAAATGACTACGCAAAAGTGAACCTTTCAGAGGAATTCACATCTGTGCCCCAGAGAGCGTGTTCCACATGCACATCTCAGCGTGCATTAGAAAGTGATTTACACGCACCATTAGTAAAGAGATATATACCTTCTATCAACATCCCTGACCATGGCAAAAGTGATTTACACGCACCATTATTTTTAATGAAAAAGCTGACTTTGACTAATAGATAAGTATTACCTTCTTAATTTTTGTACAACAAAATTACTCTCAAGCAAGTGTGATAGCACAGATTCAAGTCTGAGAGCAACTACTTTGTGTTAAAAAATGCCAAAGGTTAGGTCTATCCCTCCCAAGATCCCAAATAGCTGAGACCAACATTGGTCAGTGGGTAATGATGGTCTTCCCTTGTTTCATCTTCACTCATCTCACAACCCACAGATGGTTCAATTTAAGTGAATGAATGTCTAACATGGGGTCTTTGGAAGTACCCAAAAAAAATTAGTTTAAAAGAATGGCAAATGTCTAACATGGGGGTCTTTGGATCCAGATCCAGCTAACCAGGCTCAGGTATGTCGGATAATCCAATACCCATAGTATTCCCTGCAAGCAAAAACTCCACAATCATGGAAATAAAGCCTCGAATTGAGAATATCTCCCATGAATTCGTGTTTAAAGATATTCCCAATGTGCAACTGGATGCAGACTGCCAAGTTTTTAATGAATCCATTTTCTTTCTTCATTGCCATTTTTCAAAGATTCATTCCTTTCTTTGGAAGCATGGCCACTGCTTTAATTATGAAAAGCCACATATCGATGTCGACCTACTAACAAGCTAAGTTTAATCTCATGGGCTGGTAAGGTTTGGTTTTGTTTATCATTTAACTTTGTTGCAGGCTTGAGCTTTCCCTATAAAGCCTAGCAAGTTGAACATGGGCTAAATTTTGGGATTCCTTACATTAAAGAACCTGACCTGGAATCCCATGAACTAGAGACTCTGCGTCTTTATCATCCATGTATGAGACTATCCTATGCAGGACTATACTCCTGGGGCATATCACTAAGAACTAGGAAATGGGGGTGTCAATGGATCAGGTTCAGACCAAGTATATACAGACCTGGACTCTCTCTCTCTCTCTCTCTCTCTCTCTCTCTCTCCAAGTCACAGATCACAGGTGACTGGCTCACTGACTCTCTCTCTCTCTCTCTCTCTCCAAAATATCTTATGGATCCATAAACTGATCATTTGACATCTTAAATTGATCCAAAATATCAATTTGGGTCATCGCCAGACTAAGCAAAACCCCTATTGCAATGATAACTCAAATTGTGGATCAAGGCCTAAATCATCCAATAATCCAATCCAAATCCAAATCCAAACATCGTATATGATCCAATCACAATAAAATGGATATTCAACCAATCAAATTTACTTGATAATTTTTTTAGGATGACATAATAAGAGGGGGTTTTTACTGTTCAGAAAGTTGATATATTTAAATCACGTCATTTTAATAAATTTTGATATTATTATAGTTCGGTAGAGCTTTTTCTTCTAATTTGGTGTCTTGTTTGAGTCTTAGCGACTATGTTTATGTATATACAAAACAGTGAACAGTGTTAATTAACATGAATAGATTTTTATTCTCTAATATGCCCGTTAAGAGGCGGATTTAGATACTCCTCCTCCTCCCAATAAATCAGATCAGATCGGAAAAGCTGATCCATACCGATCCACCATGATCCGATTAGATCTGCTATATAAGTCATAAAGCCCTAAATCTCTAATCTAAACACAAACAAACAGGATTGAATCTCTTTAGACTTCAGTACTCCTCTTCATCTTCGGTTGTTCGACGCTAACAGCCTTCCTCAGCTCCTCTTTGGTACTAATGCGACAGTGCCTTTAGTCTCCGTCTCTCTGACTTTCTGGCTGCCGACGTTGCCACTGTTCTACATTTTCAAGCGCCGAGCGGTTGAAACTCTGTCTTCTCATCCTCTGCGGGCCTGCAGCTGAGCGGTTGCTGGTTCTGCTGCTATTCCATCACGGGCGGCATCGCCCTCTTTCACTGTCACTGCTGTGGTCTGTGGAAACCAGCCCATCTGAGTATTTGACATCTCTCTCTTTCGCTGCCTTTAGAGAGTCATTCATTACAACCATCTTCCACTCCAAAGTTTCGGCTTTTACTAGGTTGTTGCAACTCTCTCTCTCTCTTCTTGTATTTAGTATTTTCATTTATAATGTAGCTAAAAAATCTTAAGAGTTAATAATTGGATCGAATGGGATTCGGATCAGGTTTTATAAAATCCATCAGATTATTAACTGATTCAAATCAGTAAAAACTATTATCGAATCAAATCGGATATATCTCTTACGGAATTCGATTTGATCTATTTACAACCCTAAAACAGGCTCTGATAAAAATTTGAACTGTTAAGTGAGATGCTTGAATAGATTTTTATTTTCTGGTACCAATTGAATATCTAATCAGTTATTGAACGGTAATGCTTTTTGTGGCAATTGCACATTGCTCTATAAAAGTTGAGTATCCCTGATACAAATTGATACTAGCAGGATAGATACTTATAAGTGAGACTTTTGGCAAGTTCACACTGGCGGAGTTTCAAAAGCCAATAATTATTTGATATTTTAAACCTTGAAGTTAACATTAGACCCAATTTAATTGGGTTGGATTTGGATTCAACCCAATCAATCCATTGACAGCCTTACTATTGTAGCAGAGATTTTGGGATTGACTCCCACCTACACCAGAGATTGGGGGTTCTTTGTAGGACGGCTAGCCCCCATTGGTTTACTGACAAAATGGAGACTCAAAATCGACCCTGTTAATAAATACTCAAAATGTAGATCAAAACCATGTGGAATAGGAATTGGGCTAGTCTGTTCAGGTCTACCAGGTTGGCCCTGATCATTGACAGCCCTAGGATTCCCAACAACCATCTCTAACCTTTTTGAACTTTTTTCTTTTCTTGGCTTCAAACACCTATCTGAAGGAGGGGTATTACTCAATTCTGAAGTATGGTTTCATGGAAATAGAGTTGCTCCCTTGCTAAAACACAAGGATAGTGTTATTACACACTTGCTGTCTGTAGTACTAGCAGCACCATCTCTTGCCATTACACACTTCCAGTAACAACAATTCCTCAGGGCACAGATTCTATTCCTCTGATGAACCTATGGAGGAAGAACTTCGATTTGGGAATTGGGAAGGAGCATAACAAAGAGTGGTTTCTGTGCTTAACTATATTGTTGCAGAAGAGGATTTTCTTGACTGGAAAAGAAAACAGAACATTGCCTTTCAGATGAACAAAACATATACAAACAAAGCATAGGAACTCAAGCAAAAATATATGTACATGATCAATGTGATCTCCATGGAAGGCACTGGAGTTTAGAGCAAGAGGAGACCCAGGTACTCCTGCAATCACCACCCACACCATCACAACACTCACAAATGAGGCCCAGCAGCGCAAACATCTTCGAGTACCCTGTTGATCCAATCACAAGAAACCAATTAAATTAACCCACAGAGTCAAGAGAGAGAAAGAGGGAGAAGGGTTCATTTCTATGCTTACTCTGCTGCTCTTGGACAGGAAGTGGCCTGGATTCTACCTGCCTTGGGCTGTGAGACATGATCAAAATCTGAAAAAGCAAAGCCAAGAGCAGGCCACGCTTAAGCAGTAGCAGAGTCATTGTTTCTCTCTGCTTGAGCCAAACTCCAAGTCTATGTGTGGATAGAAGATGAGCTATCTATATGCCAAAACTCACCAATCATTGATGAAAATAAAGTGCCAAACTGTGGTCCTTTTTCTTTACAAGACAATAAATGTTGGGCGTCTAGAAATGGTTGGCGTGCCACGCGTTTTCAAGGTTGATTTTATGTCTCTATCTGCAAGCAGGAAGCTTCCTCTGAAACTGGGCAAAGACCCAGGCCCTCATCAACTTGGGCTTTGGGCAAGGACAAGGACTCAAGAGAAAGACCCTTAAATTAAATTATTAGTAAATTGTCTAAATCTCACCCAAGATTCTAACACTTTTTTTTCTTCATTTCTCTTAAACTCATTATAACTTTTTAAAACGTCTAATAATCTCGTGTCAGTGAGTTTTTTATTTTTCAAATCCATTAGAGCATTAGCACCATTAGTGTTCATTCACAGAAATTGTTTACGTTAACATAAATGTAATTTTCATGACCAAATTTCTCCTTAATGGCAAATCAATCTTGTTAAACATATTTTTATAACTAAAATGCCCAAATGCCTTCCTTATTTCTACTAGTTGAGAGATGTTTTGATGTTATTATGCTACTTAAAAAGTATTCCAAGGAAGCAGAAAATTGGGTTTTGGGTTGAATAATAATAAGGGTATTTCTGAAATATTAAAAATGGGTCGAATATGACAAAGGGTAAAATAATAATCTATTAACACCTATTAGTCTATTTAATTGTGAAGTTATGGGTTTTTTGGATGTTTTTAAAAGTTATAATGAGTTTAAAAGAAAATTTTAGACAATTTCCATAAATTATTAGACAGAAATGATGAAGATACCCCTTACAAATGCACCATCTGCCACACATCTGGAACATTGTGTTGTTATAACTGGGTCCCACACCTGCTACAGGTGGACCCACGCACGCATAACATTATGGACATGTGATTCGTGATTGGGATCTGTCTAAAGCGTCCAAATACCGTAGAATTTACTCTCTTTCAATTTCTTTTTAAATCCATGGCTTGATCCAACTGATTTTGTGTGTAAACTATGAAAGAAATTTTGTAGAAAATACTGGTTAGTTGAGACATCGAAATTCGATGTTGACGGCTTACTAGACTCTACACAGAAGGACGTCTTTCTTGGCAGTGCCAAATTTTTGACAAATTGAGTGGACTCAGGACACAGTAGGCATACAAAACAAAAGCACTTCCGTTTATTGCATGGATCTGATTATCTACCAAACTTGAAAACAAAAAACGCGATCTGTTAACATTGTTAATTTCAAGCATCTGATCAGGTGGAGCCGTGGAGGAGGTGAGGAACATTCTACATACCAGTTGGTTCATTAAAACACTTGACAAGGAGGATGGTTTTGAATACCAATTTTCTTAGGCTCAGAAGTACAAATATAAATATATAGAATGCAAAATCTTGTACTTTGTATTATTTTGTATGTATTTGTATTCTATATTTCTATATATTAGCGGGGATTCGTACAATGCATGAGATTTATTAAGCGAAAGTTAAATAATAGTTATTTACTGAAATACCTTTTATAGTTTCATGGATTTATTAAAATCTTCCTTATAATTAACATTTTACTAAAACACCACTTATAATTTGCAATGGATTTAATCAATCTTCCATTAGATGACAGTGGAAAATGRYARTGTTGACCCTAATGTTCATTTAAATAAATTTAATCAAAAGAAAATAAAAATGAAAATACTATTTTTGCCCTTAATAAGACATGGGCAACCACTCTATTGGCTATATTTGGTCGATTTTGTTTTCTATACAAAAAAGTGTTAAGGGTATTTTTGGAATAAAAAATCATGGGTCTAATGGCAAAACAAACACTCCTTAATGAAAGATTGATTAAGTAAATAAATTGTAAAATATATGGGATGTTTTAGTAAAATGAAAACTATAAGGTAGGTTTAAGTAAATATGTAAAACTATAAGGTGTGTAGGAATGACAACGAGGCGGGTTCGGGGCGGGGATCATATTCCCCGTCCCCGACCCCGATTCTAAAAGTAACCCCCATCCCAAATCCCCAAAATGTTTTTAGATAATAGTATTTTTTAAAATAAATAAAAATTTTAAATTATAAATAATGTTTTAAATATGTTTTGATATATATAGCATAAACAATATAATAGTATACTTAATATAAATAACATTTAATATATATATATATAATCGGGGTCGAGGCGGGGCGAGGACCTCAATCCCCATCCCTGACCCCGACTAGGGATTCCTATTAATCCTCGTCCCCACCCCAGCCCCACCAAAACAATCCCCATGCCCGGCCCCATCAGGTCGGGGAAATCGGGTCCCCGTCGAGGATGGGGAAAATTGCCATCCCTAAAGGTGTGTTCTAGTAAATGACCCTAATAGAAACACATAAGAGTATACAATTGTTTTATATTTTCAAATTTTTAAATAATTAATAATTATTCATATTTTATATACTACTTTTAATAAATTTTTTATAATACAAAAATAACAATAATTAATTTTAGTTAGGTTTATTCATCAAACTGATGAAACCGACCAACCCGATAAACTCAACTTGAGTTGTTCGGTTTTCTAGTATTTTAGGTCGGCTTTGGTTAAAAAATTTCCCAATTCGACCAAGTTGGATCAGTTTCACTTTGGCCATTTGTAAACTGAACAAAATCAAATGACCTAATCATGGAGATATATATATATATTATTTTAAATATAATTTTTAATATGGAAAAGTGTAAAATTTCCCATATTTCTTAGCCTAAAATGTTTTATATCATAAATCTAATTTTTAAATTTATTTTTTAATAATTGCATTATAATTTTTAAAATTAAATTTAAGTTTTAACTTTAAATCTTTTGAACCAACACACCAAACCAAAAACTCAACCCAAACCGATACAAATTGAGTGGGTCGGATTTCACAAAAGGTCAATCAATTTCAGCTGACTAACTCCCCAACCTGACCAAGTCAATTTGGTTGGCCAAATAGCCTACAACCGAACTGAACCAACTCATGAATAATCATAATTTCAACTAAATTAATAGTCTCATCTCTGATAAATAAGAATAGTTTAGTCTCTAATAATTATTGAAAATTTATAGCAAAAATACATAATTATTGAAAATACATTTAGAACGAAAAAATACAATAATTACAATAATTATAAAAATACAATAAGTACTAAAAATATATTAATTTAGTCAATAAATAGTATAATCTGTAATAAAAATTAATCAATAAGTTATAACAAAAATATAATAAATACAATAATTACAGTAAATTAAATTTAAAATTTTCAACAATAGTAGTTTAATCTCCAATAATTCTTAAAAGTTTTCTACTAAGTAGCAAAACAAAAAATAATTACTGAAATACAATAAATATTAATTTTGGTATATATAATTATATAATAAATACAAATTAAGAGTTTCAAATTATTATAAATAAATAATATTTTTTGAAAGCTACTTTCTCGAATTATTACTTGATATAAGTGAAATTAGTTATTTACAATATTATGTAAAAATATTATAAAATATATATTTATTTAAGTACTTAAATAATATGTAAAATATTTAAATTTTAAAATATGAATTATCTATTGAATTTAATTATCCATAAAATCATAATTTATACTATTATTACAGTATTTCATTTTTAATTTGTAATATGTTAAATTATTATTAATTTCAATATTATGTTATAAATATTTTTCTACTTTGAACATTTTTTTTAAATTTATTACATAATTTTGTTATTTTAACTATTCAAAATCTAGTTATGATAAATATTTAATTATTTAAATATTTAAATAATCTATAAAATATTTAAAATATTTTGTTATTTGAATTTTATTTATTTAAAGCTATTACATATTATTAAATATTTAAAAAATTTAAATTGTTAGTCCGGAAAAACATAATTTAAATTGTTAGTACATAATTTCGTGATATATTTTGTAAAAGTATAAAATTATTTTTTGTGTTTTTAATAAATATTTTAAAGTTATTATAATTTTGTTAGAATATTTAAATAATTCTTAAATTTTTTAATCTAAACTTTCTTTAGATAGATATAGATAAAAAGTAGGGGAGAGGATAAATAAGAATTAGAGATAATTTRGGAGAGAAAYTCTCTACTAAATTAGAGATAACTTTGGAGATAAATAGGAATTAGAGATAATTTATAAGATAAATAGGAATTAGAGATAATTTTGAAGAAAGTAGGGGATAGTGGTGGAGATAGTTTAGGAGAAATTTTAGGAGAAGATATTATTTAGGTTATTAGGAAAGTGCATCTCATTGGTTGTCTTGAAAATAACATAGAATAAGAAAAATAAAAATTCAAAAAAAGGAGAAAATTTCTTGACCACTTTGTTTTAATATATATATATATATATAGAAAGAGAGAGAGAGAGAGAGAGAGAGAGAGAGAGAGAGAGATTCCTATTTGTATTCTTTTCAAACCAAACCTTAAACTCAGTTTGGAAAGAGTATAATACAAATATGTACACTACAAATATATATATAAAATAATATAAAATATAAGGTTTTGCACTTTACATATTTGTATTTATACTCTTTCCAAACTGAGCTTTAGAATCATCATTAGAGATGGGGGAAAATCTATGATGTGGAAAAGATATGGTATGGGAAGAGTTTTGACCAATCAAAACCCACCCATGAATTTTGATAAATAACACCTGATTGGCTACCATGTTTATGATTCCAATTGATTGATCAGAAAATTTTCATATATCATATTTTTTCCATATCATAGTCAAACCCGAGAGATGGCAATTTTCTCTATTTCCCTGATCCCACAGAAATGTGTCATAAATGAGACAGGGATGAAAATGATTTTACCCATGGGAGGGGATGGAGAAATTTCCATCCCGTTTGAAGTTCATTTAAACTGAAGACATAGCAAATTAGCAACTTAGCATGACACGTAGTCACAACCTCCTAGTCCCACAACCTCAGTCTATACACACCAAACCCAATTACCCAAACTATGACCAGGCTGGGATTCAGTTCTAAGCATGTTGCACAGGTCACATTTTATATAGGGCTGTTCATAAGAAGACCCAAACCGACCAACCCGGTCTGACCCAATCCGAGTCGGCCAGGTTTTCTTTAGCATCAGTCGGTTTCGGGTTACTAAAAAGCATAAACCGATGGGTCAGTTCGGTTTCAGTTTCTACACATGAAAACCGAAACTAAACCAACCCGAACCAACTTAGTTCCTAGTTAGTACTTAGTAGTTAGTACATAACTTAGTTTTTACTTTCTAATTACTTATAGTTACTTATAGTTTATACTTTCTAGTTTAGAAATGCCATTAACGGATTGCAAGACATGGAATGCCATTAATGTCATTAATAGCTTCTTACATTTTTTTTGGAAGGTTTAAAGAAAGGATCCTATTCTCTAAGGTCCTTTATACCAAATAGGTAATTACAATTAGGTGTCTTTTTTACTTAGATTAGAAGCCTTCTTAAAAATTCCAAATTTCAGTCTTCTTTTTCTAACACAATTTGACTCTCTTTTCTTGATAACTTCTAACTTGGTCCGCCCTTACTCCCTTAGCCCCTCAACTCAAGCACTCAAACCGATCCAAACCGACTCAGACCGACCAGGTTAGTTTTGCCTAACACAGGGTCGGTTTCGGTTTCATTTTCAAGCAACCCAACCAGGTCGGGTCGGTTGGAAAAACAGCAATAAACCGACCCTACCCGACCCGTGAATATCCCTAATTTTGGATTAGTAATAGTGTCAATCCCAAATTCATGCCTAAGCATAAGCAAATCCTATCAGTGATGTCCTTCAAATAAATTTCATGGTACAAATGGGTCGGATCATGATCTAGTCCAATCCAAATTCTATTTTCGTTGGATTCAGATAACCCTTGTCAGATTTTCAAATCCGATAATGTGGTCCAGTTGAAAATTGGAACAGATTTAGATCACCCCTTTATTCGATCCAATCCAACCTATATATATGTATGTATATATATATATGTATGTATGTATTCAACGTCCAAAGTATCATTATGTATCAACTGATACGTATCATTCCGAGACCCTTCCGATACGCCCCTACAGTGGGTGTGTATCAAGGATCTAACCGATTCTAGGGATGGAGGGGTCCTAGACCGTCTCCCCTGAACCAGTTTTGAAAAAGAATAAAAAAAAAGTAAAATAACAAGTATCGAAACACCCGATACGCCCTTACCAACATATCAGGCATATCTATATTTTGAACCGTGATTGTATTTTTGTAATATATATTTATATTGTATTTTTGTAAATTTTTTATTAAAAAAACATGTCTTTATTAATATGTATGGTGAAAATAATTGAAAAAAGTACTTGTATTTTTTATTTTTCTTTATATAAATTATTATTATTTTCTTTTTAATACTTTATTAAATTTTTCAAAAATGAAATCAGATCGGATAGGATCAGATTCAGATATCCAATATACTTAACAGATTTGAATTCGAATGGCTACATGTGAGATCCAATCGGATCGGATCTCAGATTTATATTGTCGGGTCGGATTCGGATATACCCAGATTCAAGTTGATCCGACCCATTTGCATCCCTACAAATATTCCAGCTTTAAAAACATGATCAAATAGTTTGAAGTTTGAACCCAAACTGAGTTCACTACCAAACATTTCTTCCAATTTCAAAATGTTAAGGAAGAACCAAAGAAAGAAATCAACGTCTACAATAACATACCAAAACCTTAAACTAGAATTCATTTTTATACCCATGGAACACTAGGTAAAAAGACGAAAAATAAGAAGAAGAACAGGAAATTGATATATGACAATGGAAAAATAGAAGAATTGAACATCAACAAAGTGTTCAGCTTTTAACAATATTGTCCCTACAAAGACAGATAGTATTTAAGGAGATAGAACAACTGAAGCACCGCGAGAGCTTGAATCATCCTTTGGAAGAGAAACATAGTTCAGAGGTATTACAGCAGCAACCTTGCCACTTTCTCTTCTTTCCTTCCCTGCTAAGATTGCAGTCTTGGACAATGGAGTCACCGCACGCCGCCCTGTTGGAGTTCCACCCATTATGTTTGAATTGGTGCTCTGACCCAATGGCTTCTTAAGCGTAGGTGGCCTCATTGGGCTTGGTTTTGACCCAAACAGTGCCTCCTGTTCTGCTGCAAGCTGCTCTTGCAATCGTTTCTGCTCCTGTTAATATCAGATGTCATATGCATGAGCCTTTTTATTTTCTTTAACTATGCGGATTTGGCTAGCGAGCGTTATGCATGACTACTACAAATTAACTCATCCTCAATGAAGCACAACATATGGATGCACTTAGTCATTGATACAGTAGGTATATAACCATCCAGATACATAACAACACAGTGGATGGAAATGGAAGACAAGCAATCAAACCACTGGACAGTGCATGTGCACTTTGACCCTCTTTTTTTATATCTTGTACTACAAAGGAATCAAATAGATTGTATTGTCTCCTACGACTTGGTTGGGTTGATTGGGACGCATAAAAGGAACACGTAACCTTTGTGTATATGCCAAGTGTATGTACTCAGCTTATAGATAGTAAATAAATTAAGCACAAGCACATGACATGATTAACTTCTGACAATGGTTAAATTTGACTATCTGGCTTTCTTCCTGGCAAATTGACTCAAAAAGTCAACATAATTACTGAAAAAAAAACGGGGGGAGGTTGGGGGGATATGTATACACACCCGAGATCTGCGTTTCCCCTCTTCTCTCTCCTGCCGAAGTACAATATATTCCTCCAGTGTCTGTAACAAGGGCACCTGAAATTTGGATAAAGAGAAGAATCAATCTTCAAAGTACAAGTACTTTGATTCTTAATGTTCGAAGTAACAAAATGAACTTTCAACTTTAATGACAAAACACAAAATGTTGGATGATTTCACACCTTGTCATACAAAAACGGGATTCCCATCTCTTGTTCCCAAGCATTTACCTTTGCAGTCAAATTCTCCACAAGGGCTGCATGTCAAAGTTTTTTATATAAATCATTTATGAAACTTCAGAAAGTTCTGTCATAAACAGTAAAGAAATGGAGGAACAAAAAATCCCATATAGTTGGGAACTTGGGATAAGGCATGGAATCATGGATGATGATGATATATTCCCATGTAGCATATGAAAGAAAGCCTTCACCATGCTTTGGGCTTGTGGAAGGACCAAGAATTTAAGACCCTAACATGGACTTGTTTTGGCTTGACTCGAGGGCTGAAGCACAAGGCACACGCCTTTTGAAAATGCTGTGCCTAGGGCCTAGGTGAAGCTGCCGAGGCACATTCCTTAAAAGGTGCCTCGCCTGAGCGCCCTTTAAATCATTGGGTTGGATTCAGGCAACAAGTTGCAGCCCTATTTTCTTGCCCCAAAGGCCATGTGTCTGGTCCAAATCAGGTCTGGGTTATAACAACCCAGCCCAAAATAACCACTTTTAAAGGAAATTTTTTAAGAGAAGCCCTAGTTTCACTATCCCATGTTCCTTGTGTTTTTGTTCTCTTCCATTTTCTTCTGCTAGGTCTCTTCAAATGAGTTAACATAATCACAGTTTGTTTTTAGATTCATACAGTTTAACACAATGAAAATATCAAGGTCTGGTTTCAGATATGATGAATTCAATCTCATGCATCTGTTATTCTGCATATGGAGTACGAAGTTACAAATGTTACAACAAGCTGCTTAAAAATGACTAGCTGCATATAACAAACTGATAAATATAAGTTATAAGCTGCTCAAAAATGTCTTGTGTGGTGCTTTTTGTTTTGTTGCTGTGCACCCCCCCCCCCCTCTTTTTCCTTTTTGCAATGAAAGTAATCTTTTCTCAATCTATATATACAACAAGAAAACAGATAACTATTATGATGAATCTTGTAGGAGTTATGACCATTCCTATTGGACCGCAGGTGAGATTTATCTCCAATATTGATATCATTCTCCTTATCTTGCCAAAGTTATAGCCCACTACCAGCCAATCTCCTTTCTCATTCCACCCACACCCCTTGTGAGAACCAAGACCCCGTTGCAATATTACTAAGACCAGTCTCATATATTCCTTGCATAAGTGTGGACAAATACTAATCTACCATGGAAAAGACCATCTAATTAGTAACTCCAGCAAAACAAGCATATTTATCCAGTCAAATCAGGATTATAGGCCTCACATGGTATTTTGCCGACCAGTATCCGTGCTTTCTCTGCACGTTTCAGATTTATGTGTGCTCCTCTTCCAGCACTATAACGATTTTGATCCTACAAAATCAAATATAAGTGCTTGTTCAATCATATATAAAATCACAATTAATAATCTAAATATAAGAAACAGTAGAATGCAGTAGAATGCCCAGAATCATTTTGATGGAAGAGGAATAATATTGAAATTCCACCAAATATAATTGTGCCTTCATTTTATTGAATAATAAGTTAATAGCAAAATACCACTGAGTTCAGTAACAAGAAAAAAAAAATCAAGGATGCGGACTTCAAATGCTTAACTACAGCAAACATAGCATTCGACCAATTTTATTATATCAGACAAATTTATTAACTAATTTCATCTCAAATGTACCGCTTTGAAATACAATTTAGTTACCACCTAATAGAATCAGAATTCTACTTGAAATGGAACTACCCAGAAAGTGAAAACTGTTGGGTCATCTAAAGTGAGATTAATATGAAAATGAACCCTAGAGACAAAACCAAGTAAAAAATGATGGAAAAGATTTTGATTTTTCATGTTTTGGTTTGATCACTTCCTAGTTTGAAAAACATAAGTGCATAACCCATTTGTCTATTGTAAAAGAAGAAAATATGAAAGCATATATTGATATTTTAACAACCAAAGGAGAATTGGATCTCTGGTCCCAGTCTCCCAGATCAAAAGTAACTGTAGCAGTATGTTAAAATTACCAGCATCAACCACCCATAGTTCAACATTTAACATCATAGCTTACTCTTTCATAGTCATCAAGCCAGCTTTCCTCCTCGGATGCAAATTTCCATTTCTCCACTTTGTCCAAAATTTCTTTTCTACTTAAAGCTTGCTCCTTAGCCTTCGCTATCTGATCATCCATGCTAGAAAGCAGTTCAGACAGATCAATATTCCCTGTGATACCATTTAGAAACAGCACAGTTTACTGAAATTGTCTAGCAAATTTTCACATTAGCAATTCTAAATTGTGTGGTTCACAACAATACCAAATCTAAAATGCAAAATTCCAATTTCAGGAAACATCATATGTAAAAGAAAATCATGTAGGGTGCAGGCTCCAAGGAAGAATAAAAAATAATAAAATGCAAATAGATTCTCTTTAAAGCAGAGATATTCCATCATGTCAATTTTCATTTAAAGCTATTGTCAAGGAAATTTTAAGGAACCATTCAACCTAAAAGCTTAAGCTGTTAGATGAGGCCACTGAATAGGTTTTTATTCTCTAACATCCCACCCCCCGCGAAAACCTATTGGGCTTGAAGCGTGGACAGGCACGGGCCCACCCATATCTTGTGCTGAAATTTAATTAATTATAATAGGGGCGACAAGGATCAAACACTAGACTACTTGGTCAAACAGGCTCTGATACCATGTGAAGGAACCATTCAACCTAAAAGCTTAATAGGTTTTTATTCTGTAACAATTATTTTACCAGAGAAATAGAAAATAGACTCCTCCAGTGGAAAGAAATTTAAGATTTAACTCATTAATTTATAAAACTGGAAGAAGAAACAACTAAGGAAACAGTACAAAGAAAATAAAAAAACAAGGAAGGCAATATTACATCCATGTGGAGGAACGGATAGATAGAAAAGAAAGCTGAAAGGGGAGAAGAGGCAAAGAGAGTGAGACACTAATTTGAGTAGATATGAACCAGAGAAGATACTAAAATCAGTGAAGTATTTAAGGTTATCAGCATCCAGAACTAAATCTAAGTAAAGCTTAATGGTAAAAGCAAAATACAATTTAAATGCCTTGAAAATTATAAAACAGAAAAAAATAGTAAACTTGGTGTGAGGATGTATAGAGTAAACCAGAATCTATAAAACTGATGAGAATTTGCCGTGCTGTATCACTATCTACATCCATATGGACTGCCTTGTAGATTTGTTCAAGTTCGTGTTGCTTCTTCAAGACAAGTTCCTTCATCTTACTGGCTTTCAGAAGATTCAGTTGTTCCACTTCACCTTCAGCCTGGCAATAATGAACAAAAGGGAAATCATTCCAGGAAATAAAAAAGAAAGGAAAAAAGATTAAAAAGATACAGGCAACATTTTCTGCTCTACAAAATTTTCAGGAAGAACCAAGAAGTTTCACCTGCTCAATGATGTTCATGGCAAGGCTTCCTTGCATTGCGACCTCATTCACAGATGCAGAAATCAGGCAGGTAACATGATCAAATCTTTTTTGCTCAACGGTAGGTGTATCCATGAGGTTCCATAACTCTATGAGTGTACTCCCAAGATCTTGAAGCTACAATGTAAACAAAAGCCCTCAATAATGCATATTTTCTTGCTTGGCACACTTCTATTATATCAGCACACAAATTCGGTAGTTTTAACCGGAGGTGCAACTTGGGTTGGGCCGAGTTGACATTTTACACTACTTTGGACTCGAGCTTCAGGCCAGGATCATTCAAATTTTAGGAAAAGCCTTACCTGGGCCCATCCAAGTTGTAGCCCTACTTTTAACATCTACATTTACCGATGGACATGAGAGTTAAAGGCATAACATTTATGCTAAAACCGGACATCTCTTCAAAGAAATATAACTATATGTATTAAACCATAAGAAATTCAAGGCAATTTAAACTAGGAAGTTCCTTACTATATGCAAACGGATTTAATCAGGTGAGATATAGGAAGATCCAAATTAGGTTCATTTATATTCAAATTCAAATTGGATTTTATTCATCGGATTTATTAAGGATTCAAATCGAATTCAGATTACAAGCAGATATTGAAACATATTAATAAATTAAACTAAAAATGCTCAAAATATTGCATATTATAAATAAAATAAACTAAAAATGGCTATACATTGGCTCTGTTCTCTGGGCTGGGTGTGAGCCAACTGTGTTAATGGGCTGGCAGGAATGTTGTAACTGTGTTGAGTTAATAAAATTTTATTGTTACTGATCAAAAATATAAAATAAAATAAAATAAGAATGACTTTGTATAGTATTTCATGAACAAATTGAACTGAAAATAACTTGTACAAAACTTTGAACATATGACAATTTAGTAAAATCAAAACATTTGTACCACCTTTACCAATAGATACAATATAAGTTTTAGTACATCTGAGCATCGAATCAAATCAGAGTTTGTTGGATATAGGTGGATCCATATTTGATCCAATTATAAATAAATCGAATTCAGATCACCCCTAACAGCCACGCGTGATTTACATGATTTAACCTACTGTTAAGACCTACAACCTTTGGAGCCTAAGCAATTAAATGATATTAGGTTTTTACACATCCTGGGACATACAACGCCACACCACACAAACTACAAACCATGAAACCACTCTATCAAACATTTTGATCTTTAGCATTCTAACACCCATAATGTCACAAATAGACCTATCACCTACGGCAATAACACCTCTCTTCTTCTCTTAGAATATAACATTTTTTTCCTAAAACAACCAGAATCTATAATTCATTCATTTAGAGAAGTAGTACACATACCTTTGGAGACTAACATATTTCAATTATCCTGTGATGTAACCCCCACACTATTAGATTCATCCTCATTTTTTTTCTTGTCAAGACATACAAAATAGTCTCTCTTCTGGTAGCCAAACTCCTTAGATCTATAACACTATACCTTGCCATTTTCTCTGACTCAGGATCCACTAGGCTAGCAACACTCAAATCCCCTATCAAATTGACCTTCCTTTACAATTCATTCTCAACATAACCATTGCAAAATCCTGCCATACCCATACTTGAACTTTCTCCCAATCTCATTAAATAAGAGAAACACAATAACTTCAGCTCACATAACTTCAATTTCATATACAAATTCATGATTAAACTCCCCAGGAATGGAGTTTTTCTAGCTTTTCCCAAAGTCCAGTACAAAACCTTCATCCATAACATTATCAGAAAGAACCGTATGGTGTTCACACACTTTGACCCAATATCTTCCCAATCATCATCCTTCATCTTGTCCAATTTACCATCCTTTCTTTTCAACAATCTTTCCAGGATTTTTTGAACTAAGATGCCCTTCACCCTCCTTCAATATAGGGTAAAACTCCTTTTTCTGTCGAACATCTCAACCATAAATTGAGAACTCATCTTTGTATCCATTAAAACCAAATTAAGTCTATTTAAACTGATTTACCCGTTGAAACAGTTACACTATAGTTGTAGTGTTTCTCTTAACAATCCTTTCTTTGCTTGAAGATCAATCAACTCCACCTGAAACCAAAATCTAAATAAATGTACATCCTAATGGCACCAGATTATTAATATGTTACTTAACAACTTGGCATCAGTGGCAACAAAAAACTTCATGCTTCCAAGCCAAAACTCTAATACTACATTGTTATGTGCAATCAAAAGCCTTAAGATCACTTTTTTTTAGGCATAGGAACAACCATAGGTAAATCTTGTGACTTGTGATTTACCTATGTATCCACTTGTAGGTAAATCTTGTAAACCCAACCTCCTTGCAGGTAGAAAAAATTTTACCTATGGGTAAAATGTAAATGCATACAAATGAATCCAAAAAAAGGAATACAAGAGTAGTGAACAATTTATGTCACTCAGCCTTTTGCCTAGGTTCACAGGGGAGACTTACACGTTAAAAAGGATGAGAAGTAATACATGGTTTCTTATGGTTTACAGCCCAAACCAATCCTTAACCCTAGTATACCCATTCTCCCTTTTCTTTATCAAACCCAAAGAACCCTTACAGGGAAAGATCACTCTTTTACAAAGAGTACCCTATTTCTCTCAATTTCTCTTTCTCTACAAAAGAGATCTCCCTCCTTCCAACCTAATCTAATATTTATACAAAAGCAAGACAACCATGACAAACACACCCACATGACAACATGAGACATCACCCTTTTTCCAAAAGATCTGTCCCCTTGGGACAGAATCACATTGTCTCCATTGGTGCATTAAAAAAAACAACTGTTATTTCTAGTAGAGTCATCAAAATCATTCCCAAAATATTAAGGAAGAAATTCCAAAAATTAGGTGGTTTGTTGACTCACCATCTCCCAAAAACATGAAGTTATTATACAAATATAGACCATGAATAGGAATGTTTTGAACATGCGATATATGTACAAACACAATTAAATGACAAGAGGAAATCAAACAAACAAGTTAAATATAAATATTGGCATGGCACTTTTTTCAAATGCTTTCATGGATCCTCAAGTTAAGACTAGGTAATATTGTTTTAGCTTAAATTTCTAATAAAGTTGATCATGGTGTATTATACAAACAAGCAGCCCAATCATCAATAACTAAATAACACAAAGTGGAGAACAAGGGAGCAAATGAAGTAAACACAAAGTGGAGAACAAAGACAACTAATTTCTCTACCACCTTTTGTAGTCGTTTCTGTTTCTCTTGCATCAGCGAATTAACTGTTGCAGTCAACCTAGCAAGGGTATCGTTACTAATGCTCTGGAGTTGGCCATTTGCAGGACCACCCAAGCTCGGATGAACCTCATTCACTGTCTTAATGAAATCAATTGACATTATGGCTGACAATTCACGAATAGAGTTAACATGACTGTTAACCTTCTCTAATCGGAGACTCTGCAAATAAAATGGTAAAAACAGTAAGCCTTAAATTCATCTGACAGTTCAATTGTTATTAGAAAACTCCAAATCAAAACCTTTTCTTTCTGAAGCTCCTGGTGGTGTGACTTCAGATCTTCCAGCTTTTTCACTGTCAAGTCCCGCTCATCTACTTGGGGGTCAGCAGACTTACTGAGATGGATGTTGCCTGCTATTTCCGCACATATCTGAACAATCTGTGACTGGACGTCCCAAAACTCCTTTACCCTGTCTTCTTTCTTCTTCCTCAAGTCCTCCAGCAGAGGTTTTACTGTGGATATCTGCTGCTTCAAAGGGCACTTTTCCCTCTCAGACTATAAAAAAGGGGAGCTATGTCAATTACAGCATCCCAATCAACTAGAGTTCACACGACAGAATCAAGGATTAGTGACCAAGAATACTGACTCCTGAAAAGGCAGCCCTTTCTCCAAGGGCAGAAATGAGGCTGGCAACTTCACCTTCGGCCTCGGCCAATGTCTGTTGCAAGTCAGCCTTATACTTGCTAGCTTTATCTACCTTCCTCCTGTATACATCAAGGCATTCTTGTTCAAGTTGCAGAAGCATTCTGTCCCTGTCACTATCGCTTTCTCCAATTTCGTCCCAAATTTCCTGATCATCCAACAAACAATTCATAATTATGGCAAAGATAAAAGAGACTAAGTAATACAGAATTTAGGGAAAAAAGAGACAAGAAATCGATGAATTAGTCACTGCACTTCCTCATCATAATAAAGGTATTACTAAAACAAAATAATAAAAAATTAAAAAGAAGAAAAAGGCCATTTGCAAGAGGAAGGCAGTAAGCATCACAGTAGCAGACATTTGCAGAGGCCGAAACTGAATTATACTAAATACAGCCAAAAATTCAAACGAAATTGTATTTACTACAAACCAAGCAAAATTAGAAGAGAGAGTGTATTTACTACAGACCAAAATTATCCAAGAAATAGCATCTAGATCAGTCGAAGTGGATAAGAAACTACGAATTACATGTCAATTCATCAAATCATCACCATTGTAACAAAACCAAGAAAGAGGGATAGAGAGAGAGAGTCCATTGAAGACCTGCAATTTCTGGAGGAGAGAACCGCACGTCGTCTCTGAAATTGAAGGAATGCCCGCCATTTCCAGGGCAGCCATGACAGAAACAGTCGAATAAGCAAAAAGAATAAAACCCTAGAAACTGGAACCTAGTATTCCTCCTTTTCTCCTCTTATTCTATTTTGGGATCTGAGAAGAACTGCAGCAATGTTCACGAAGAAAGAACAATTACAGGATTCTTTAACGTTAAATAAAGAAAAGAGGAATTCACGGAGAGAAATAAGTGCGTCTTGGAATTCAATGGTTTTGGCGCGAAGACCAATGGAATTCAATTTGTGGAATTCTATCACGACGCGCACGAATGGCGCGTCTGGGAGAAAGTCCCGAAATAACAACGAACTATTGTTCCGAAATTGCCAAAACAACCTCCGGTTTTTTACGTTGTTCTCGCCCTTGCTTGGCTTCTAGCACCTGAGCGTCGCCCTGGAATTCCCCGATCAATTCCGTATTCTACATTTCACCGCGTGCTAAGTTTGTTTGCTGCTGTGCTCTGTCTTACTCAGTTACTCTTTACAGGTCTATGTAGATTTGGTGGGACCACCTTTGGTCAAGACTGTTGATCTGGTGCATCAAAGAGAATGAGTCAGCAATTGTTGCCGTTCTTACTGAAAAAATCACTGCCGTTAATCCAGTGGGGCATAGTTTGGACGAACCAATGAGTCATCAGTAACTGGCTGCTTGGCGGTAACTTACGTACTTCCAGTTCCCGAAGCCGTCTGGGCGAGCTCGAATCTGATACTCACAAGATGTTCCCACATCTCTACCCACGTGACATGACAATCCCTGGGGTTGGAGAGATGTTCCCAATGCATATTACTATTAGTGATGCTCTGTGAGTATGGATGTGGGTACAGAACATTAGTAGCAGATCCCGAGTCTTTTGGGGCGGTTTATGAATTCGAAATCGCGAAATGTTTGTTTTCTGGCAATGTAAGGCCCAGTTGAACCGTCAATAATTTTTCTTTTTTATATGAAAGGGAAAGAGACCCTTCCCCGGTTCCCCGTTCTCCGAACAAATATAAAAGGGCTACTCAAAGACAAAAAGAGCTTGAGAGGCCTTTTTATTAGCCAACCATAACCAATCTATCGTTTCATTTGGTTGTTAATGGGTGGGTCCGACCCGATGAATTCGATGGACCTGAACTTGATTGGGTCAGTTACTCGGTTATAGTTTCAGGATCCGTACCGATGAATCAGTTCTAGTCATTATTATCAGTTTGAAGTAAGGTTTTAAAAACTGACCCTGGAAACAAAATTGTTCTAGCCACCGGTTTTTAGGTCAGCGGTTCGACAGTTCGGGTCAAACGGTTTGACCATCTTATCCATTAGATTGTAATATTAGGGTAAGATGCATACTATATAAGAGAAAATAAGGGTTGAAACTTGAAAGAAAATTATCGACTGAACTTAAAGAAGAAGAAGATGAGGACTTGCAGACTTGTAGCGGCGACGGCGATGGTGAACTACAACGGTGGCATTATCAATCTTAGATCTCACCTTCTCGTGTGAAAAAGACAGATCTAAGATTTCTCAATCTCAGAGATTTCTCATATCTGAGATTTTTCAATCTCAGAGACTCCTCATATTTGAGATTTCTCATATCTGAGATCTGAGCAGCAAACCATTCTCTGGGTTGAACGATTTACTGGTCAAACTGTCTGAGTCAACGGTTCATTGACTAATTCAATGGTTTTTGACCAAATGCCAGATTTTAATAAAACGAAATCGATCACCTGAACGGTTTCCGATCCAAACAATCCAACTGTCCGAATCAACAACGATTCAAAAACATTGATTTGAAACAGATTCTACAAAGTCCCAAATCGATTCAAACTCAACTAGAACGGAGGAGAAATAAAGCCTAATAGCTCCAAGAAAAAGCTCAAGCCATAAGTAATGGGGAATTGATGCAACATGCTAGCAATGCATAAGGCTTCAAATGCATCCGAGTCAAGTTGCTCTAGCTTCGATATCATTGACTAGAGTTGTACCATTTTATTCTAATTCTTTTTAATTTTATTATTTTATATAATATATACTAAAATTTTAAGATTTTTTTTCAATTTATTGTCTATCTTATTAATTTATTTCAACCTTTTTCATTATTTTTTTAATATTTCTAAAAAAAATCCTGCTGCCCACAGCTTGGCCCAATCCAACACGGGCTTGTTTGGGCTCGTGTAGTGGATAATGCTGGGCTTTCCTTTTGAGGGTTCTGGGTCAGGCAGGCACAGCCTGCTACAATAAAAGCAGCCTGCAAAGTGGGTCCGGCATAGCTCACATTACACGTTTAAAGAATATGCAACGGGTGCGAAAGCCCTCCATCTTCTCTTGTAAAATCCAGCGTCGCAATTCACCTTAATCCACCCCTAAGGCCTAGTTTGGATCTAGCATAGCCCACATTACACCTCTATCAATAAAGAATATGCAGCAGGTGCGAAAGCCCTCAGTCTACTGCTCTTGTTGAATCTAGCGTCACAGTTCACTTAAATCCACCCCTAAGGCCCAGTTCCGAAGGAATATAATACAAATACGCACTTTAATCCACCCCTTACCAGTTTGCAGTTGAAGGCAGCTGGGGATGGGTAGTGGAGGGACAAACGAATGGTGGTCAGAAAATGGAGTTCCGCCTTGGGCTAAGCATCCATTAAGGGTTGTATGGGGTCTAGATTAATATTGTTCAGAACTCACTGATTTCTAGTGTTTCAGAGTTCTCAATAAAGGCATGGAAAGCTACCAATGGGATCTCTTCCACTGAATTATTAAGGATGTATTTGGTTGCACTAGTATAAATAAATGGGAGTGCAAATGAAAAGAATGCAAATTCTGGTTTAATTTTGTTTTGGGTTTTACTTTATTTTGCTTCAAGTTTTATTTTACTTCATTTGTATTGCAATCAAACAAAACAAAACAAAATAAGTTTTGAAATAAAAAGAAACCATAATTTGCACCAAAATCAATTGCATTACCATGATTTTGCATCAACGCAAATAAATTCATATTGCAACCAAACACATCCTAAGGCTCAATTTGAAAAGCATACACATACAAATGTGTAAAATGCAAATACATACAAAATAATACAAAATATAAGGTTTTGCACTCTATACATTTGTATTTGTACTCCTTCCAAACTGAGCCTGGGTTTCACCAACCATAACCATAAGAGAACCCAATGGAGAGTAATAGGTGATGCCCACCATAAGACTCGAGCAGCCTAACACTTCAAGAACAGATGATAAATAATTCTCCTCATCCTTATTGTACAGAAGGCGAGACAACTTAGTAATGGGAAATCTCATTTTCTTGAATCATGTTTTTTTTGACAAAATTCAATTAGGCGTCTCATGCTTAACCAGAAAAATCCTTATGGAGCCTTTTAGGTGTGGAAGGGAGAAATCATTTCTTTAGACTTCAAATGCTTCCTAAGAATATAGACCCCACTCTATTGTTTTGTATCCAAAATATCAATGGCAAATTGACAGGGTTCATGAACCTAGACAAATCGGGGATCCGAGTCTCCGATGGGGAACCCATCCCCATCGGGATTGGGGATGGAGGAGCATTTCTTTCCCCGATGGGGATCGGGGACGAGGATGGGGAATGTAATCCCCACCCCAAACCCACCTCGTTGGCATTCCTAATCATTATAACCTCTTTTGACCAATCAGACTTCACCAATGTGTTCAGAAACCCAAAAATCCCTAGTGCATCAAATTTTACGACCAAACTCCTCTGATTGGTCGTTAAACAAACAAGATTTCATTTTGGACTTTCTCGTTAACTATAAGCTAAAACCTGGTCTAAACTAAATATATCAACCCACACCTCAGGTAAAAAAATCCACCACTTGCATCAGATTCAACATGTCCAAAACAACTTATCCACCAAATTTTATTACAAAATTCCCTTGTTTGACCCTCTATCAAGCTAAGATTCTGTTTTGGAAAATCTCATTGATTAAGAGCATATCATCCAAAGAAGATCACACAAAGACCTAAGCTAGTTTAGACCCATTAGCCTATGTAATACAGTTTATAAGTTAATTGCAAAAATTTTGGCAAATATGTTGAAAACAAAATTGGGTAACATCATTTATCTAAATCATATTGCCTTCTTGGTAGGAAGATACATAACTAACAATGTCCTTATAGCTCATGAGATTTTCCATCACTTGAAAAAGTCAAAAGCTAGGAAATTTTATATCACAATGAAACTGGATATGAGCAAGGCTTATGATAGAGTGGAATGGGTTTTTCTAAACAGGGTAATGGAAAAGCTAGGTTTTGGGGAGAAATGGATTGGTTGGGTCATGGAGTGTATTACATTTGTAACTTATCAGGTTTTGATTAATGGAACTCCGAGCAATAAATTTTACCCCAGTAGGGATTTGAGGCAAGGGGATCCTTTATCTCCTTATCTCTTCCTTATGGTATCAAATGTCCTTTTAAGAATGTAAATAATTCTAGTAGAGTCAAAGAAGATTTTGGGTGTCAAACTTAATTATACATGTCCAACTATTTTCAATTTATTTTTTATAGATGGTAGTTATATCTTCATCAAAGCAAACTCTGAGGAGAGGCAAGAGATTATGGATGCCATTAAGGTGTATGAGATGGCCTCGGGGCAATAGGTGAACTTGAGTAAATCTTAAATTTCTTTTATCTCCAAAGTACATCATAGGATCCAAAAATGCTAGCTATGAGTTTAAAGTTAAATTGGTTCTCAAACCTTTGGTCTAGTTGGGATTCCCTCTTTTTTCAACAGGTTTAAGATTAAACTTCTTGATTTCATTTTTGAGAAGTTAGAAAAAATGACATTGGGATGGAGAAGAAAGCTCTTGAACCAAGCTGGTAAAGAAGTACTAATCAAGGCAGTCCTAAGTAACATCCCAACCTATGTTATGTCTTGCTTTTCACTTCCTTTGGGAGTTAGTAAAAGGATTAAAAAAATCAAAGAGCTTTTTGGTGGGGCTTATGAGAGGAAAAAGAAGTAATCCGATTGGGGTGGGACTAAATAAGTAGAAACAAACTTGACGGTCAGTTGGGATTCAGAGAACCAACTGCTTTTAACAAAGCTCTAGTGGCTAAGATGGCTTAGAGAGTAGCAAAGAAAGAGGACAGTCTCTGGGTTAAAATCATTAGGGGAAGATATATTAAAAACAAGTCATTTTCAGTGATAAGACAACCTCATCTGGGTCCTA